ACTAACTCACCTCATACAGTTGTCACTCACTTGCTCCCTCAATGGTGGTGCTTCTCAAGGCCTGACTAGCAGCATGGGACACCTAGACTCCAGAGGCCTATGCTACCTGGGGCACATTTGGGTGCTGAGAGCTTCTCCCTTAAATCCAGGTGTCCCAAGTTCCTTTGGGAGAAGCCTTACAGTCACAGAAGGCACTAGAAGATACCCTTCCTCCTCATTCAGCTCCCCATGGTGTGCTGGGTACCCTTGTGTTCTTAGCTTCCTGTCTGTGCCTCTGTTGCACAGAAGCGGCTTCCTTGTCTCTGTGTGGTTGTATCCTGAGGACACTGGTCACAGCAGAGCCAAGGTCTTCTGTACTCAGTGTGGCTGGACTTCAACTAGTGAATTATATTCCTGACAACCAAACCTAGAGAAAGCACTGTCTGAATACCTGGGTGGGGTCAGGACTTGGACCTGTCTTAGAGTCTGCTCACTTGGCTCCCACCCTGCACTATCAGCTGGAGACAGGCAAGTCCAAGGTATAGGCTCAGCACATTACCTCAGGCTTGACCCTTTTGTACGCTAAAGCTAGCCCAACTATTCTCATTGGAAGCTGAGGAAAGCAGGATGGGAGGTACCCTGCTCACTGTGTGAGTGCCTGGAGGGGCCTGGCTCCTGAGGGGCCTGTCTAGGACCCCCAAACTCTGAAGTGATGTGCTGCTTAATCCCCACCACGCACCAGGTAGACCCTTGAGTCCTGAGACCCCTTTGCTACTGTCCTGGCTCTTGCCCCAGGAGATGAACCTTCCTCCCATCTTGTAGGGCCAGTTAGAACCTCAATTAGCATGAGCTGATAAACGGGGAGGGACAGGGGTGCCGGGACAGTAGCCCTCTTGCCATCTTGCCTGGGACCTCTGCCAACAAGACTCAGATGGATCTGAAATGAGCCTGCCGGGTCTCACACCTATAACTTTAAATTAAAAAAAAAAAGCCATGTGCTGTTCTGGGCTCCAGCTCAGCCTGGTGTGGCAGCCCCATAAAGATCATGTTATAGTACAAGCCATTACGCTCCGGTTTACTGTACACACATCTCTTAATGGTTCGGCAAACAGCAGCCTACTCACGGGCAGGGAAGGAGAACAGCTTCATTTGGGGTAACAAATGATCCTTGATTTGATTTTAAATGCAATGACAGCCAAATTTATTTCTTATTTAATCACTTCCCTGTGCCGCAGAGAGAGCGGGGCGATATTAACTCCACAGTGAGCAGACTGCCGAATCCACGCGAAGAGACGACCCATACATTATGTTTACAGGGCAGAGCGAGACTGCTGTGCAAAGCACGCCACTAGAATGGGTATTTTTGTCATTTACACAGTGGCTTATATCATTATTTCTTCCTGCTTCCAATTTTTCAGTAATAAAAACATAGGCGACGTGATTCTCTTTGCATTACAGATAAACCATCTTGATTCTTTATTAAATATTTTTATTAATCTGAAGTGCTGTAAAGTGTCGGGGCAAATAAATCAGGCTGGCAGCAGTCATTTCCCTCTGCCGGTAGGAGCTCCATAAAGTGGCTTCGGCAAAGCGCAGTGCCCGGAAAGGCCCAGCTTCATCACTGGCTCCTGTCTGCCCTGCTTCGTGGATGTGTATACTTGGCAGAAGTGACAGTAATGGGATGTTTGTTCTTCAAGATCCAACTGGTTTGGGAAATCACTCTACAATCCCCCGGTTTGTGCTTTATTTAATTAGAAATCATTCTCAGCTTCACTCTGTGCCAGCTTGGGAAATGCCCTGCCCCAGCAAGGCTAGGAAGGAAGGGGTCCCCCAGAACCCTAGAGAAAGGCCGCCACTGGCCAGGGCCTAGGTATATTTGGGGGCTATGCCCAGGGTCATACTATAGCAGTAGTCCTGGTCTTAACAGGGGCAGACCAGCAACTGCTGAGGGTGGGCAGGGATAATGATGCCGTTCTAGCTGCTGGGCTCCTCACCCCTGTTTGTTTTCCCTTCCCATGGTCGAGGCGTGCAATTAGAGAAATGGGCTAGGATCATTACAGGGCACCGTTTCTTGCTGGAACATTCTCTCTCCAGCCTCCACTAGCGACCCATTTCAGAGCTGGTCACAGTTACAGGCATGGAATTTATTTCATCAGCATCTCTCTTTCTTTTCCCTAGCTGTCTTACTCCTTAGGGAAGCTAATTGGTACCACTCAACTCTGAGACAACTACACAGAGAAGACCTCTCTGGGGTTACCTCCTACTGGCTGTTGGGGTCATTGCCGCCTGGAGAATATGGATGTATCTGCTCTTTGGTGGGATATCTGACTAATGGGACGTAGGTTGTCCTTCAGTACCCAGGCTCATGGCTGTTCCTGGAGTTAAAATGAGTTCCAAGGGTCTATTGGCTTCAGTGGGGCAAAATGTGGAGTCAACTCGTGTGTGTGTGTGTGTGTGTGTGTGTGTGTGTGTGCATGTGTTGGTGCCAAGGCTTTGCGACTCTGGAATTCCATTAGTTATGAGGTCCCATGGCCTTGATATCTGCTCAGTCCTAGCCTGCCTCTTGAATGACAAAGTCTGCCCACTTTGGGGTGTAGCCTCCCTCCTCAAACAGAAGCAAGGCTGTTGAGACTTGTGACAGCTCTGACCCTGCAGTCCTGGGCCTGGTAACCTAGACAAGCCCTGACCAATGTCTAAACCATAGCTTCCAACTCAAGAGTAGAATATCCACACATATTTTGTAGTCTCATTTTCTCAGGCTGTGAACCCGGACCTGATAGACATCCTAGGAATGTTTCTCCCAGGTGATGGTGGAGGCTGGGCCCCTGTGGAGTGTCCATTAAGTGCAATGTCGTTAAAGGGACCACAGAAGACAGACCAGGGGAGGACAGGCCAGGGCAGGGTAAAGTAGGAGAAAGGGAGAGGATGGCACAGTGGGAGAGGTAGATGGAAGATTCTAGAAGAAGACCGACTTGGCACTACCTCCCAGGGTGACCCCTCAGAAGGAAGGTGAATGCCCACAGCTCTGTAGGGCCCAGCACTTGAAGTATAGGGTATCCAGGGGACACTTCCAGAGAACCCTTGGTTACAGTCAAAGCCGTGCTCAGTGCCAAGAATTCAGTGCTGAGTGTCTCTATGACAACCTGTGGGGGTGGAGGGTGCTCATGTTCCTACTTTCCACTGCTTAGGCCAGGGGTCAGGGGTGGCCTGACTCTCCCACATGGGGCTCCTGCTCTCCTCCTTCAAGCCTGGAGGTCCCCTACCTATAAAGCCTCCTTTCAAGTCAAAGGTGTTCCTGGGGCTTGGACTGTGTGCTGTGTGTATCTGGGAGATGAGTAGTTCCTGAGACTCAGCACTCAAGTTGGGAAAGGACAGGGATGCTGTCTGGCTGGGCACCAGGAGAACACTGAGTCCCTGCCACCTCCTCAGCAGGGAGCATGAATGAAGCTCATGTGTCCCGGCCTGCCCAAGGAGCAGAGGCTGGTGATACCAGCTTGGCTACTAGGCTTAGGCCAGGAGTGCCAACTGGGCAGGGCCAGCTGACTGGTTTTACTGGAAGGATAAGGTGGCTGGGGTTGGTGGAGGAATGAATATTTGGGACTACCCAGGCAAATGATCCTATCTCTTCTTTGCCTCAATTTCCTATCTCACTGGTGAGAGTGTGACTCTCCTGGACAGCCACACTTCTGCTGCCCAGACTAGAGGCTGTCTCACAGGGACCAAGTGGGTGCTTGCTGTGGTCACTGTGGGAACCAAGACTCTGAGTGCTGGGCTGCACAGTGCCCACACACTTGCTTCAGTGGTCTCATGAGCTGTCTAAGGGCACTCAGGGTGTAGGAGGCATATGTGGTGACTTGAAGGGAAACCCATCTCTCCCAGTGCCTCTTGTGAGCTGGTCCTGTCCACTTTGGCACAACAGCTGGAGACGGCGAGGTTGGTGACACCTTGTCTCCAGCAGGGGTTTCGGTTCGGGAGGGGGCTGTTTGGACACCCAAAGGGGGTGGATCCCTGAGTGCTCTAGTGGGAGGACCTGACCTCTTACCAAGCAGAGACATTTCTAGAAGCTAAATCTCTGGGTGCTCCAGGGGAAGAGCAGGTGTGTTCATGTGGCCTCTAGGTTAGAATAGGTTACTGCCACCTGTAGGTGGGAGTGGGTCCCTGCCATCCTCCATGGCTCAGGTCTCCCAAGACTCCCTAATGAGAAGCCTGAGCTTCTGTCTAGCCTTGAAGCTCCACTCAGACCCGGAGTCACGAACAGTGATTATTTTGTGCTTTCATTCCAATGACTGAGTGCTGTCTTTTCTGCCAATTGTGATGTTCGCACAGTTGGTGGAAGAAAGGAAGGGACCTTGTCCAGGGGCAAAGATTGAGGCTTTGGCAGACCTCACCCAGGCAAAAGCAAGCCATCCCTGACTCCTCCTGTGTAGCTCTAAGTAGGGTCACAGAAAAGGGCCCTGTGTGTCTACTGTGCCCACGCACTGTTTGCAGGACTTTGTTCACAGATGCCCCGGTATGTACGTGTGGGTACGTTCATGCCATGCCACAGTGTGCATGTGGAGTTCGGGGGAACAGCTTGTGGGAGTTGCTTATCTCCTTCCACCATATGGGTCCTGGGGATTGAACTCAAGAGGGTGGCAGTCCCAACTCTCTAAGAAACAGCCATTCTTCCTAGAACACTCACTCCGAAGGAGGGTCCCCAAACCGCAGGCACCTCCTTAAGCCTCCCGGAGTCATTCTTATCTCTGTGACACTTGTGTCTGGAACCAGGAAGAAAGGACAAATACACATATCTTATTATAATTTTGGGAAATTCCTGGGGATTGCTGCCTTTTGAAGGAAGGAGTTCTGATGCTTCTTACAACATTGATGAGCCCTGGAGACGTTGTGCAGCCAGTCACAAGAACAAATACCGTGTGTGTGTGTGTCTCTGTGTGTGTGCATGCACGCGCACGCATGCTGTATAGCTGCAATTAAAACTAGCAAAATTATGTATTTAGGAAATCCTTGGGGGCGGGGGACAGTTATGCCTGTGTAAAAGGGGCACAGGAGCCCACTGGAAAGGCCGAGAATGGAAGCAGGTGGAACCAGAGTAGCCGAAGGCCTGGGTTGTAACTGGCGTACATGAGCATCTTGGGTCTGTGCTACATGGAGTGAGCGAAGGGGTGAGTGGGGGATCGGAGACAAATCTCTCACACAGAAGAGAGTTCCAGGTCACTCAGGCACTTGGTTGCTCACCGCTCACATGTGGGGGCACAGTTATTTACTTTCTTAGGGCCAGGAATAGGGTGGTACTTCCCACAGAGTAGCCTGGCACAGGGCCTGCCAGGAGAGCAAGTCTGACAACAGAAATGACAGTCTGTGCCAGCAGGGTGGGATGAGGGCGGCCTCTGCAGGACAACCCCGTAGTCATGAAGGGAGAGTCCAGCCAAAAGGAGAGAAAACCCCTGCCCAGATGCACTCTGAGCCGGCAAGGCCACCAAAGGAAAGAATGCTTGAGATGTTGGTACAGCCAAGTGGAACCTAGGGGGATACTGGATACAACACGTGCTGTCCTGGGACAGGACGGACAGCAAGTGAAAACAGCAGACCCGGATGAAAGAGACTAGATTCCTGGGAGCATGGGTACCAGGCAGTTCTGGGGTGTAACGTGGATAAGCCACACACTTCATAGGCTGGGACATGTGGACCAGATTCTGTGTGGATTCCTCCAGTCCCAGACTCCAGACTTCTTTTGTAAACTGGCCCGAGTCATAACCTTGGCCTTGGCCATCTATGGGGCACAGAGCTGTTACAGCCGCCCCATCTTATGTCTCAGCTATGATGGACATCGCACCATTCCCCACAGAAGGGGAGTCTGGGGGAGAGCCTGGCAGAGGGCTGAGGGGCACTGTTGCTGGCTCTGAGAGGGACTTCAGAGAGAGACAGTGGCCGGAATAACCACATTTAACCCATCATAATGTGGAGAGTTTTGTTATGAAAAACACCAGAAAGCCATTAATGTAAATCATGAAATATTCATCAAGGAAGTCACTTAAATGTCTTGTGTTCCCAGAAGTGGCGCTGGGTTCTTCCTGCATCCGGGCGCCAAACACCAGCTACTGAAGTCTTCCTACGCATTAGCGCTCAACTGGAAGCCATTGCTCATACCACAGGCGGTGGCCTCTGTGCCCTGGCTCACCTAACAGGGGTGGGAAGGTGTTGGGGGAGCCATGGCCATTCTTCTCCATCAGGTGTCACTAGGAGTGACACTTGTTTCCCTAGAAATCCCCTGGATCAGTCCATCAGTTCCTATCCCTGCGTGAGCATGACCAGAAAGGGAACTGCCAGGCTGGAGAATGAGTCAGAGGCTGAGCATGCTGGCTGCTCTTCCAGAGGACATGGGTTCAGTTTCCAGCACCTACATGGCGCCTTATAAACACAAACACCCCCCCCCACACACACCCTAGACAGGCTTTCTCTGTGTAACAATTCTGGCTGTCCTAGAACTTGCTTTATAGACTAGGCTGGCCTTGAACTCACAGAGATCTGCCTGCCTCTGCCTCCTAGGTGCTGGGATTAAATGTGTATACTACCACCACCTGGCATTTATAAACATTCTCTTTTTTTGTTGTTTTGTTTTGATACTGAAAAACTCAAACTGCTTTAGTTTGAGTAACAAGTTTATTTTTTCAAAAGGCATGTATAGACAATAAACAAAGTAAACATTTAAAAGGTTGTAACTGCCCTAGACGCTGCTACATCGGAATCCATTACTTTTCTTCTGTTGAATTTAACTGTTGTTTTCTTTTCTGTCTGTTGGCTGACTTTCTCAAGTATTTCTATTAAACCTTGTTCTGACACCTTCCCGCTTAGCTGTCCATACCGAGCCATCTGTATAAGGTAGTTCTCTACTGCTTTAGTTTTTTCAGGCTTTACAAGGGCTAAGTTACTTAACCTGGCCTGGGCTGACTGATCCAGAACGTGGGCTAAGATACTGTTTCTCATTTCTGCTTTCCTTTGCTTTGCTTTCTGGTGGGCTGCATCACCAGGATCCCCATGCTTGGCCTGCAGCTCGGCTAGCCTCTGCTTCCTCAGCTCCTCGAGCTCTTCGTCCGTCCACCATGGCGCAGCGGTCCCATGTCGCGCAGCCACAGCAGCCGTTGGGGGTCATGCAGCTGCATTTATAAACATACTTAACTACAGTTCTAGAATACCCTCATCTGGCCTCCATGGGTACCAGGCACACACATAGTAGACACACACGCATGCATACACACACACATATACATAGGAAAAATACTCATAGATTGATTAAATAAATAAATAAATAAATAAATAAATGTATGTCTTTAAAAAAGAGGGCATGAAGGTGTGAGCAAGTGAGGGTGGATCTGGGAGGGGTTGGGGGAATCTGCCTAGGAAATGGGGGTCTAGTTCTCTCTGTTCTTGTCAATGGCAAACGCAGGACAGATGTTTGATGAAACTTCCAGGGCTTCTTCAGGACTTTGATCCTCCAGATGGCTACTCACAGGGCTCCCTTGATGAAGGGGACAGAAAATGAACCTCCTGGAGCTGTACACAAGGAGGACCCTAGCCTAGTAGAGGGAAGGAGTGTGCTGGGAGGCCCTGAAGAACAGGAAGTCCCCAGTGGGGCCCCAAGAAGCCTCTGTCTCATCTTCCAGTGTACCACAGTATCGTGGAGAAGGCTGATGCTCATCTTTGGACTTTTGATTCTCTTCATGTTCTCAGGGGTTTCCTGGGCCTTCAGAGCCTGGCCAGGGTAGGAAGGGTCAGATGAGGCTGGGGCAGGAAGTGGGGAAGCTCTGGCCCCTGTTCTTTTGCTTGTGTATACCTGGCCCAAGTTAGCCAAAGAGGCCAGGCAGTGGTGGCACACACCTTTAATTCCAACACTTGGGAGACAGAGGCAGACAGATTTCTGTGGGTTCAAGGACACCCTGGGCTACACAAGATTAAATCATTCTAAAAGAGAAACAGAGCTCATACCTTTAATCCCAGCTCTAGGGAGGAGGAGACAGGAGTGATATGGCTGGATGGAGAGAGGAAGATAAGTCAGGAGGAGACAGGAGTTCATGGCATTCAATCTGAGGGTTCGTGGAGACAGGATATTGTGCTTTGGTTCCGAGGATTCGGTAGAGGTAAGAAGTAGTGGCTGTCTGCTCTGCTTCTCTGGTCTTTCAGCTTTCACCCCCTAATATCTGACTCCGGGTTTTATTATTAAGACCAATTAGAACCTGTACTACAGGGTTTCTCAGTGTAGCTCTGGCTGTCCTGGAACTCATTCTGTAGACCAGGCTGGCCTCAAACTCAGGGTGATTAAAGGCATGCAACACCACTACCTGGCAAGAACCTTGTTATTTCCACAACCTCTGCTGTGGTCCTGACACGTTCCACAGGGAGCTGATCTCTCAGGCCCCATCGTGTGCAGTGTTGGTCTCTGTCATGGCCATCCCTAGGATGTCTATATTCTTTCTTTTCCCAGAGTTGAGAGGACCAAACTCAGGGTCTTGTGCTTGCTGGGAAAGCTTTAGACCCCTGAGCTAAATCCCCAGCTCTTCTAGACAGCCAAGAGTAACTGTGGCCACCCCACTGGCTCATGGGCACACTGGGGATGGGGAGGGCTAAGGAGGACCCAAAGTGGGCAGGCTATATGAGATCCCAGAGGAGGCGGGGTCTGGGGAGGTGGTGGAACCTAATTCTGAGCCTGTGGGCTCTGTTATAGGCATTGCCCTGGGTGAATCACAGGGCAACGTGAGGGAGAACAGAGGGTACAGAGGGTGAGAGAGTCTCACACAGCTGGCACCACATGGAACCTCTGAAGGTTGGGAAAAGAGGTTTTTTCTAGACAGTCTGGGATGAAGCAGTGGTCATGACGATAGTGCTGGGTTTGGGGGGGAGTCTGGGTGGCCCTTCTCTGTGTTGTCACCCTTGAAAGGAGGCATCTTGGAAAGTGTGCCTTCCCACAAGAACAATCAGGGAAGAACATCATGAAATTTGATTTTTCGCTTACTGTGGACTTAGTAAACTGTGGTTTACTGGGCACTTGAGTCAGCCTCTAATTGTCTTAAACAGCAGAGAGAGCCTTGGAGAGCTGCTGCAGGGAGGCTATGAAGACTCTGCTCCTTCATCCAGCCCTGGAGCGCCACCGGTTCTACCAGTGCAAAACAGATGATTGACATCGGGCCAGACCCTTGGTCTTTGTCTTTCCATTTCAGATACAGAGGAGATGCAGAAAATCCACCTTGGTGTTCAGTCCTGGTTCATACTTCCAGATGGAAAAGTCTGTGGAAGTTAAGGTTACACAGGACTAACCTGCACCAGAGTTAAGATTGGAATTCAGTGTCCGTGCAGGTCTGGGTCAAACTTGCCTTCCAGTCACTCCAATCTTAGCAGCAAAACACAGAGTGGCTGCCAAGGCCCAGGAACCTAAGAGTGGGCAGCATCCCCTGCACTGAGGGGAGGAGTAGCTGCTTTTGACTCTATAATGATATTCCTCTAAGCTGACAGAGAAGCAAGATGACCTAGTGTCCCCCTTGGTCTCTTGAGGAAGGGACAGGGCCCTGCTGCACAGTTGAGGGCCCGGTTCCCAGATGACCGGAATGGTGGCTCTCATCTCATTATTTTGGGAGCTGGGAAATTACTATTCATGACAGTAAACTTAAAAATGAAATAATAAGTCTGTCCTTTTAAAAAGCAAATTACGATGTCAGAATATTCATGAGCTGTGACTTCATGGGAAATGGCAGCCGCCGGGAGATTATCATTTGGTTAAGTCAGCAGCGGCAGAATTTAGGGAAATGTGCCTGTCAGTCTGAGGAGATGGTGATTAATACTTCCTGTTTGCGGCCCCTTAACGGGTGCATTTTAATGTAATAATTAATTAACCTTGGGGATCAGTCACTTTTCACAGCTCCCGATGCCGTGGCTCCGGGGCGGTGGAGGCAGCCTCTTTCTGCCAGGTTCCTGTCCACCCTGGGCACTGGATCCTTGGGACTGACCTCCTGAGGGGCTGAGAGGTCACGACTGAGCCCCAATCTCAGTGAGAGAGTGTGTACACGAGGGGGTGGCATAGGCAGGACAGGGGACAGGAACCCAATCCTGAGCTAGTAAATGTTTGTGCCTTTCCCTTAGTGTTGCACGTTGAGGGTCCCTGGACTATGTCCACTTGGAACCCTAGCATGTGGCTTTTCAGGAGAGGGTCTCTGTAGGTACAGTGGTTTAGGATCTCAGATGACCTCGCTCTGGGGTTTAAGTGGCACTAAACCCCACAATGAGTGTTCTTACAAGAGGAGGGAACGAAAAGAGTCAGAGGGAAGAGGCCAGTGATTTGAGCCAAGGTTTAGGATGCCCAGGACTGAGGGAGACACAGGAAGATGGGAGGGGCCTGGGATGGCCAATCTCACTGGGAACTTGGTGTTGATGACTGACCGCCAGCATAGGTGAGAAGGCATTTGTGGTGTTCGGAGTCACAGACAACCTCATGAGCTGCAGCTACCCCAGGACACTACAGTGGTCTGCTAGGATGGCCAGCGTCGAGGCCAGCTCAGGGAGGCCCTAGGGGAAAGAATAGGAACTGGGTCAGAAGACAGTGAGCAGGATGAGTGACCAAACGCCAGTGTTCTTCTCTCTAGGTCTAAGACTCTCCCATTATAGAGGGTTGACCAGAGATACACTTCTCAAACTGGATCCCCTCCCGTGCACTCTAAGGGAGCATGGGATCCGAAAAGCCTGCCCTTCTTTTTCCTTCACTTGCTGCCTGGAAAACACAGTCATCCTTCCTAGCTATTCCCAGCACCCTCCTCTGGCAGTGCACGCCTCAGTACTCTGTATGTGGCACTGTCCAAGACAGCTCAGGTTGTGGGTTCTGCATCATTAGATTCAAAGTGGCCATGCCAAGCTTTGGGGTCCCGGGTCACACACACACCTGCTCATGCATATGCATGAGTATGCACTACAAACATGTGATGACTGTCATCCTACAGACACACACACACACACTCCCATATAAATTCATACACATATGTGCACAAACATATCCACATGTATACATCCATATACATGCTCACACATATGCTCACTCAGGCTACACACCCAGTCAACTCACAAATACCTGCTTTGAGCTGGACAGCAGCTTACCTGCGCCGTCTAGTGGCTTTTCCCAGGTACTGCAGTGTCAAATTTGCACCCTGGGGCCTCTGTCCTGTTCAGGGCTGGCAGGAGCATCTGGGGCAGACTTGATGCCTTTTTCCAGGGAGACCCTTTCCAACTTGTCCAGCATAGTTAATGCCAACATAATTTGTACAATGACACCACACAGGGCTCAGTGGCTTGGGGCAGGTCTCCCCAGGGTGCTTACCAAGGCAGGGGATAGGGAAGTCATGGGAAGGAGGGCCATGTTCCTGTCAGCCACCATTGAGGGATGCCAACTTCCTCCAGTGAACTCCTGGTGCTGGGGCAGAAGCCAGTACCTGGTTGTGGCAGCCGTCTCACCCCAGGTCTCCACACAGGGTTAGCACTTTCTGAATCACAACCCTCTCTGGCTCAGCTGGGCCCTCGGGCCTGCCACGCTCAGACCAGTTGAGGTGGGAGCTGGCAGGCTCTGATAGTGCCCAACTGGCTTGTTCTCTCCTTGAAAACCATATGGGTAGGAGGAGGTCCCTAAAGGTGTAAGTCGTGTTACAGGCCACAGGTTACTCAGATCCTCCTCATCCGGTTTTATGGGCTAGGGTCTGGGCTAGGGGTCCCATGTAAAGGTAGGAGTGGGTTCATATAGTAGAGTGTGTATCTAGCCCTGTATAATGTAACTTTGGGACCTTATCCTGGTCCCCTTGGCTGAGGTTCTGAGAGAGCCCAGGAACCCCTTTGTAGATTCCTTTCTTCTCCAAAGTGGTTAAAGCTGATTTCAATTGCTTTAATCAAGAGACTTCAGAGCCTTGTCTGGCCCACCTTAGGAAACCGTGATCAACCAGTCAGGGAGCTCCCTTGCCTTCCCATGTCACACCCCTGGCATAAATAGCAGGTACTCAATAAACACATATCTTTCTATGGGCTGGTAGGGAGGGGGCATCATGTTTTCTGAAGCAGAGACTGAGATCAGGGAGAATCTGAGTCTCCATGTAAGTCCCATGCCTGAGCCAGGCGAGTGAGTGTTAGGATTCAGATATTATGCGAGCCTGCGCAGTCATTGGGCAGAATGTGCCCAGGCAGTACCCTGGCCAGCTCAGTCCTTGAGGGACGAGCTCCGCCCACTCCCCCACTTTCTTTCTTTCTGCCATTCTCTCTTTCCCTCTCTCCCCCTCCCTCTCTCTCTGTCTCTTCCTTCCCTCTCTCCCCAACCCTCCTCTCCTCTCAATAAACTCCACACCCAAACTCTGTGTGTATGGCATATTCTGTCACCCACCGTGGTTTGGACCCACCTGCCATGGGATGCCACAAGGGTCCCAACTTGCCGTTTCATAACAGTGAGTAGGGGGGAGAACCAAGTGGGTATGTCCCTTGAATACTACATCAGCATCTGCATAGCTTAGCCTTAGAGAGGGCTGTGACCTTCAAGCTTCTGTAGCAAGGCTGACCTGGGAGGCTGGGCAGAGGGCTTTGAGTGGTGTCTCTGTGTCTATGTGGAAGTCTGGATCTGTTGGAGGTGGGGACTTGTCACCCACTGGGGAGGGACAACAAGCATACATTATAAAGACCACTGTCCCCACAATTTCTCTTGCTTACCACCCCTCTCCTGGGGATCTTGGAGAGCCAGATCTAGCACGTAGAAAGGACTTGTTCCGTGTCCTTCTGGGAAATCCCTTCAGCTTCTTAAGTGGCAGCGTGCTCATACTGACTTTTGGCTCTGTGGAAATACTTTGCCAATACTCTCAGTATACAAATGGGGAGTCCAGGCAGCCATGACAGGCTTCCAGGAGAAAAGTGTCCTAAGCTTGAAGAATGGGCTGAATTGCCTAGGCTTTGGACAAAGAGCAAGGGTTTGATGGGGAGAGGACTGGGGGATTTGAAGATCAGCTGCTCAAACCCACTGCTCACAACCTGCATGGCTCAGTTCTGGGAACATCCTCCAAGACTGTGATCTGTGGCAGGAGCCTTCACCTGCAGGGCCTTGCGGACTGGAGACCCCAGGGTGGTGCAACACCCTGCACCCTACAACACCATGTTGTACTTAGCTAGAAATAGGTGCCGCGGACCCTTCTGGGCCTGTCTAATGTCAGAAGAAACATTGCTTGTGACAGGATCTCATGTACCCAGAGATAACTATGAACTTAACCTCCTGATCCTTCTACTCCTTTCATACCACCATGATAGTTATTTTTCATAGGCACCTGACCCTTTTCACACACTTCTGGTAAGGGAGCCGGGAGCCCGACTGGGAACTACACCTCCCGGCATGCCTCGGTGTACTTACGTATTTCCTGCGCGGCGGCGGCGGCGGCAGCAGCAGGGAAGCGCCTACCAGAAAAACCACATCTCCCGGCATACTAACGAGCGCACATTACGCACTTCCGGCGCGGCTGCGACAGCGCGCCCCTGGCGGCTACTGCGACGGCGGCAGCGGCTGCGAGGGGACAGCTCCGGCTCCTTCAGTGACGGGCGGCCCAGCAGACAGGAGCCGGGGCGGGGCGGCGGCGGCCAGCGAAGGAGCGCGCGGCGGCCCGGCCCCGCCCCTGGTCCTCCCGCCAGCCCCGGTGACCTTCACGGATTCGGGCGGCCGGCGCTGGCTCCGGCGGCGGCGCGATGTTCGTGCAGGAGGAGAAGATCTTCGCTGGCAAGGTGCTTCGGCTGCACATCTGCGCAGCCGACGGCAGCGAGTGGCTGGAGGAGGCGACCGAGGACACGTCGGTGGAGAAGCTCAAGGAGAGTTGCCTGAAGCACGTAAGGCCGAACCCCTTACGACCCCGTTGCACCGCTGCCTCCTTCCTGGAAACCAGAAACTTAGACTCCTGTCATGGATTCCGCCCCTGAGTCCCATCTCCACCTACTCCCCAGACCTTCGCTTCTGCCTGGGACCCGACCCCGGGATCCTTTGTACAGCCTGCGGTTCCCAGCCGTCGCACCTCTGGGTCCGGTCGGGACAGCTCCTGCCGCTCCTTTTCGGAGCGAGCCGCAAACCTAGGAGAGAGTCTGGCTAAGCTGATGGGCGAGCTTTATTTAATTTCTGCAATATCTTGAGGTAGTGAAGGCAACGAGTGAACGGAGACCGGGAGAGAGAAAGAAAGGGCTCATGGTTTCCTAGTATTGGGGCTTGTTTGATGTTGGGATGAGGTTTTTGTTTTACATAAGGTTTCCCCAGAAGCTGAGAAGTAATTGGATCCCTTTATTAAGAGAGCCCGCTTCTTGCCCGAGAGCCAGCTACCAGGAGCCCCTGGCCTGGGCCTGGCTCTTAGCTGTAGTCACTTAAAATAGTCTCAGTCTGGGAGAAGTCCCTGGGCTTCTGTTTTCTCCTGGGGCAACAGTTGATTGAGTGGGAAGGTCCAGGACTAGGATCTCCTCACCAGCAAGTGGCCTTTGTAAAGTTTACTTACATGCTGTGAGCTTTGTACTATGGTTAGCTTTTTGGTTTTAGGTAGTTCAGTCTTGGGACTAATTCTTGAAGCCTCTTTGCCTCTAAACCGCGCTCAGTTAAAGGTGAGAGAGATGCCTGTTAGATCCCGTGGCCTATGGAAACACTATACCTGACCCGATTGGTGCCAGAATTCATATTAAAGGTGGCCACAACTTTTTCGTGGAGACTCTGGGAAGTCAGGGACCTGCAGTGGTAGGTAGTGGAGCATTGTGTTGCCTCTAGTCTTCAAGTTTTTGTGGCAGCTCCTTGGAAAGGGTAGTTTAACATCTCCCTTGTGGGGTCAATCTGTAATGTCAGGTAGACACCAGGAGATCTGGTTCAAACCCATGCTACTGCACAGATACTGGGTAACCATGGGTCTTGGCTTCTGTGGTTCACGTCAAGAAGGCTCACATGAGCAAGGGTGAGATGTATTTAGACTGCTTTCTTGTTTTTCTTCTTCTTTTTTTCATTTTGGAAACCAGAACATTTATTTTATGACAGATTGAAATCCTCAAGATGAACTAGATGCTGCAACAGCTGCCCTCTTGGGTTTAGGGGTTGTCCCTTCACGGAATCCTTGTCTGAATCTTCGATAGACAATTTTTAGGTGCCTCATCCGCCCAGTCCCGGCAGTGTTTCGTCTCTTAGCCTTGGCACTCCAGTTATACTTTCTCTGGTGCTTGGCAGGGTAGCCGCATTTGCCACAGGTACACTTCTGAAGGTGGTCGGCCTTAGAGCCACAGCGGCGGCACAACGTGTGCATCTTGTTGCGATGCTTTCCAAACGATGACGTTCCTTTCGTCATCTTGCTTCTGCTGCCCAGGCCAAAGAGACCGGAAGAGCTTGTTTTTCTTCTTAACAGGTTCCCAGGGTCTTGCTATCTAGAAAACCCACAGGGTCAGCACAAGTGACAAGGTTGGGGACTCCTTGGGCATCTAGACTGCCTGGGCATTTACCTTGTCTAGTTCTGTACTGTGTCCTCTACCACCTGGTTGGGTTCCTTGGGGTTAAACTCGGAGTGACTCTGAAGCCCGTTTAAGGATTGAGGGAGCCAGTGAAAATGTGTTGTCAACCCCAAACCACATCAACACGGGATGTCCCCTCCACTAGTGTGGCATTTTGCTTAACTTACTAATGGTGTGGATTTACATCAGTGTGGCAATATTTTATGAAGGGACTGGGAAATGATTTGTAAATGCTTACTAGCAAATTTCAGGAACAGTGGGGAAAATTAGGCAACTGATTTTGACATGGTGCTAATTATTTGTGATATTTAGCATTTCAGTTGGTGTTGTAGTTACAGTATTTTGAATTTGTGGGTCTTTATCCTTCTTTAAATTGAGATCTTATTCCACTCTGCACTCTCCAGGTGTGAGGATACAGCGTAATAACAGGACTGGAGAGCGGAGGCATCAGTACTGACCCACGTCTAGGCCCCGTCATCTCCGAGTCACAAAGCGCTCATCAGAAGAGAGGGTTTTCCAGTTGTCCCTGCCTGTCTCCCTGGAAACCTATCCGTGCACATCACGTTTCTGTCTTGACTTGACTTGCTTTCTGCTCTACACACTTGTACTGGCGTTGTTATTCCTGTGATTTCTCTTCTTTCTGCTCTACCAGAGGGGTATGATTCAGTCTTTCAAACTGTTCTTCCACAGTGCGGCTGGAAGTCTACTGCTGTATTGAGGAGTCTTGTCATTGTAGTTCTTAAAGAAATGGATTTGTTTTCTGCCTTTCCGGTTTTTGTTTTATCCAAAGTGACTTCACCGTGGTATACCCCAGCCCCCATTGCCTGTGTCTGGGAAAGGGACACAGTAACCCTCTTTTCTAAAGGGGGTTAGTGGTGGTGTGGTGTGATGGAGCTGTAGTGTGGAGGAAAGTGCCCGTATGAAGCGCAGAACAACTGTCCCAGGTCCTGTGAAGATGTGCTGTACCAGACACAAGCATGAGGAGCCAATGCAGACACCTCTGGGATATATGTATGTGAACATGGAGTTTGTGGTGGTGTGTAGTGTCATGACCTATGCTTATGTTTATGTCTTGGTACTGGTGTGTTGACATGCTTCAGAATACAGGTTTTTTTTTTTTAATTGTGTTTCAGACTAAATTCTGAACTTGACAAATCCACTAGGATTAGCTACAGATTTTTTTATTATTATTATTATTTTTTATTTTTCAAGACAGGGTTTCTTCGTAGCTTTTTGAGTCCTGTCCTGGAACTAGCTCTTGTAGACCAGGCTGGCCTCGAACTCACAGAGATCCGCCTGCCTCTGTCTCCCGAGTGCTGGGATTAAAGGCATGCGCCATCACCGCCGGGCCTAGCTACAGATTTTTTTTTTTCATTTTTTTAAAAAATATTTATTTATTTATTATGTATACAATATTCTGTCTGTGTGTATGTCTGCAGGCCAGAAGAGGGCACCAGACCTCATTACAGATGGTTGTGAGCCACCATGTGGTTGCCGGGAATTGAACTCAGGACCTTTGGAAGTGCAGGCAATGCTCTTAACCACTGAGCCATCTCTCCAGCCCCCCTAGCTTCAGATTTTTGAACTTCAAAGTGGCCCACTAATGGAAGCAGAAGGGGTGTTATACTCTTTTAGTTGCTGTGACCAGGTACTACATAAAAGCATCTTAAGGGATGAGTTTATTTTGGTTCATTGAAGGAATGCAGTCTTTATGGCAGGGAAGATGGCTCTGTGGTGATGGGAGCTCGAGACTGCTTGCCCACTTATCTTTAGATCAGAAAGCAGAGAGAGGGCAGTGCTGGCCCTCAGATGGCTGTCTTCTTTTTATTCAGTCTGGTCTTCATCCCATGGGATGTGCCATCACATTCAGGATTGATCTTCCCCCTCACCTAATTTTCTGTGGAGAAGCCCTCAGTGTCACCCAGAAGTACACCTTGTTAATGCTCGACATTAATAGCAAACAGCCATTCCTAGGTTCAAGTTCACATTTTCACAATGGTGAGCATGTGGGTTGCTGTAAGGTAGATTCCATGTTATATGCCCATTAATTTTAACAGCTTTGTTTGTGTGTGATGGTCTACTCTTCAAAACTGTCTTCAATCTGAGTCTGATGGAAGATTCTAATTTTCTGCACTTCCAGGATCTAGAGGGAAACTCATGCTTCAGTTTTTTTCTTCTCTTCTGGTTAGCAGCCATATGTAGAGGTTGTTGAGTGTGTGCATCATGGTATCAAAGGCCTGACAAACCCTATGTCCCAGATGTGCTAAGTGGCCCGTTCTGGGATGGGCCAAAGCTTCCTCCAAGCCTGTGTCTCAGTCTCTTTCAGTTTTAGAAAGTACTGATGAGCCATCTCATTGGGCTTCCTGGACTTCTTCCTTTTTTAATCTAACACCAAGGGATCCATAGCAGCAAGAAACAGTTACAGCCTTGGTCTTGTTCTGAGTTTGGGGAGGGGCTGCAGCTGACTTGGCATGATGTGTGGTACCTGGGCCTGGGAAGGCTGTATGACGCTGGGCAGTGGTGAACTTGTGGAAACTTTTACCGGTATACTTGTGAGTGTATCTGGTGTTGAACACACAGGCACAGTGAGTCCCTGTCTTTGTCGTGTGGCACTGGCAGTGTGTTCTTGGTCTCTGTCTACATGACAGTCTCAAAGGCAAGAAGGACTCTCTCTATCCTTGGAGATGGGTGAGTGCTGGGGCCTGGCTGAGATCGTGAGCTATGTTTACCAGGCCTCTGCCTACAGTTTGTGGTGGAAGGCTGGAAGGGGCTACACAAGCCTCCACTCAGTACGTGAAGTCACTTGTTGTGAGGTAGCTTCTCTGGTCAGGGTCCTTTTGGAGATGCTGTCTTCCTCAGTACTTCTGGTAGTTTGCTTTCTAGTTCCTGCCTACTCCTCTGCCTAACACTGTTTCTAGGTTTCTGGTGCCCTGGGGGCATAGACACAGCTGTGAGCCCCCTGGTCTG